TAATTAGTGTTAAAGTTTATAATCACTCATTTTTACATAATAGTTACATTGACCATAAGTGATGCATAAAAGGGAAAGAAAAAAAATGAAGTGTTTGGCTTCATTAATCAGTTCCTAAGTTCACTGATTTAGCTTGCAGAATTTATTCACATGCTGTGCTAGCTTAAAACCCCATATATTACAAGTCCAAATCCTACCCAAGTTACACAACAATGGGATCTCATTTTTAATTTATTTAAATAAATTATCTGAGGAGCTTAAAGGAGGAAACAGAGGATCTGCAGCACTGCAATTTTAAGGAAATATGGGAAATAGCATTTCGAAGCTACATTCAAGGCAGAAACCAACAGCAGAAGGAAGCAGTGTTAATCACTGAACACTTGACAAATATGAGCGTAACATAAGCTTTTACTAAGACTTTATTAGCAACACACAATGCCACCCAACTATTCCTCATTAATTCCTGCTTTTGAAGCACCACTCAAAGTTCAGTGAGTATTTTTACACAAATCCTTTTGTCAGCGCCCAAATAAACCACAGTTTTGACCCTTATGACTATTTTACAATCACTGTCAGAAATCAGGCCTGAAGCCATCCTCTTCACTACCATGGCCATCACCATGCCTGAAAGACAGGAACAGATACCCAAGACCTCATACCCTGTGTATTTTGTTCACAGAGTGCAAACCTCTTGGATGGTGTCAAACCACGGTGCTGGGATCTGCAAGGCCATTCAGATACAAACCCCACATCTGACCATACTGGTACAAGATTAGTCCAGGCTGTCATGGATCAACTTCACTATTATATTTATTTAGTAATTTACATAATAGTATGTTTAATATCTAATTGTGCTTTCAAAGCTGCACTTAAAAGTGGAATCAGAGTCAGACATGAACTAAGTTACTACCACTCTCTTCCTCAAATAGCCTTTTGCCCAGGAGGCCTACAGTTTAAAGCATACAGAAAGGAAAAGAGAAAAATAATCAGGTCTGGTTTAGGTCCAAGAGAAGCTGTAACAGATCTTTAGCACAGCTTCTCATACTCTGTTCCACATTATATATAAATCACATGCAGTTTGTTAGGTCAAGATAAATTGCTAATGAGTAAGATGTGAGGTAATTCTTCACTTCCATAATCTCTAGCACCTTCTGACTCTCCTATGCACCCTCCTATTTGGAGGTGAGAGGGGAACTAGAGGAATTCCTAGAAATATTAGAAGCTCATCTTCAAAAAAAAAAAAATAAAAAACCCCAAAACCCTATAGAAAGTAAGCACCACTTTGATAAACAGCAAGGGAAGAGAATGCTTCCTTAAAACACCTCTAATGAGAAACTCTGCTATTAGCCGGATGCTGACATATTATAAACAGTCCTGGGTGGTAACCTGCAACTGAACATAAAAGCGCAGAGCGTAACTTCATAACAATTAACGTTATTCACTCGCCAACGTGCAATGCTCATTTCACTTCTTCAGTCAAAATTAATAACAGAAGCTTTTTTCTTTAATGCACGATTACTGAAAGCAAAAGTTACAGATTAAACCACTCTAAACAACTGAACAGCAAGATCCCAGAGCCAAACATCTGGACCTCTAAATCATGGTGGTCTGATCAGAAAAAGACTGATACTAGCTAGGAGGCAGCATTTCTTTTAAATACATTTTTGAAGAAGCCAAAGCTGTGTTTTCTTGTCATCTTTATTCAAGTATTTCACAGCAGTTATATTACAAATTACAGTAAAATGTTCAAAATTTCCAGAAGTTCAAAAAAATTAAATAACTTACTTCAAACTAACGCAAAATGAAGTCAAAATGCAAAACATCAATTTAAACACAGTTCTGAATAAACTATAGAATCCAAAATATACCATAGTTGATGAAGGAAGTCTACTTAATCCACAAAGTAGACACACATTAATGAAACCAAACAGGACTCCCCAACGTCTAAATAACCCAATGTACAAGATACAAAAGATGCAAGTACAAGCTCAAATTCAAGCTTATGTTGTGATTACAAAATAAAATAAAAACAAAATAAATGACTATCAGCTGCAGGACATGCCTTCAGGTAAAGGTAAAACCAGAGCTGACCTATCATCTTAATGGAAAAATGAAACCAACAAACAAAAAAAAAAGGAAGACAAGATATTACAAAACCCAGTAATCCTATAAATACATTGGCATATGAGAAAATCAAGTAACAATACAGAGGACACAAAACAAAACAAAAAAATTAATCACAGGTGAGATTCAAGCTTGCAAATACAATTAACTCCATAGCCATCAACTTCACCCAAGAGCAACTCTATTATCTCTGAGACAGCTCCATGAGCCCCCCAGAGAAGCCTCCTTCCTTCTGGCTGGCCACATTTCACTGACCCCAGCACAAGGACTCACACAGGAGTTTATTTGCAATTTTCACAACAAGAAACAAGGAAGAGAGGTCAATTTGTACAAACTCTTGCCAGTGCTATGTGGCAAAAAAATTAAAAACATACAAAGAGTAAACAAGTTTAGACCACATGGATAGATTAACAGCTGTTTTAACTCTATAACCACCAGACATCTGTAAAGGAAAACAAGAACTGAAGTGTGGTTATTTGGGCTAAGAAGGCGAGCATATCATTTTAGGTAAGCTGTCCACTAGAACATCTGATATCAGCTACTTTTCTCTAAAACAACATGGCAGCTCCTCCATTAGTAAAGTTGCCTCATCACAATTTTTTCCCAATCAACAACTGACAGTAAAAATTTTCCTTTAGAAACCTGACCTTTCAGAACCATTTGTAATGCTAGGCATTAGCCTTAAACTTGCTTTTTACACTCACTGGTGACAAAAATTTTCAACTTTTTAAATTCATATAAATTTATCATCTTAAAAACGTACGCGGTTTTATCTTCCACAAGTGCTGCTGTTACTTGAACAAAAACTTCTTCGAGTAAGTGAAACTGGAATAAATATTTTTAAAAAATTCTGCAGCAAGAACCTGAGACTTGCAAAAACCCCTTTTATCAGAAACTTGCTACAAAAGATCTGCTACATTTTATTTAATCAAATCTTAAAGTTTGTAACAATTTCCATCAAAATACAAAATGCTGTTAATGTACCAGACACAAAAATATTTCAAACAGGTATGATGCTAATAAATACTAAATGAAACGTGGAAAAAAATCCCATAATCAAATCTGAGATCAAAGAATCTCATCTAAAATGTGTTTTCTGCTTGTTTTTGTTGTTTTTAATCGCACTTTCCCACCTAAAAAATACAGTGTTTCTGCAGGGGTTGCATTTAGAAGGTGTACCTAGATGTACATGAATGCTTAAAACCTTTCTCTGCCATTAGCTATGAAGACAAACAGTGGCATTCTGGGGAGCAAAAGATCTAACAATTATGTTTAACCAGAATGGACAAAGCACTTTGGATTACTGCAGTAACCCAAGGCCCGTGTTTTGTTTCTCTGCAGCGCTATACTACTATTAACCCTAGAGGTGGAGACAAATACCTTAGCTTCAGCTTGTGCATGGGAGCAGAGTGATTACAGTCCTCCATAAACACTGTTGGTAACTAAAATACAAAAAGCTGAGGTAGCTCAGTATCTCTGCAGTAGTCTGTTTTCTCTAATTACAAACTAATCACACTGTGTTGCATATTTCCGGAAAGACACTTCCGCAGCTACGTAAGGGACAGTCACAATGAATGGTTAACAATGGCAACACCAGCCAACCTCTCTAAAACACCTTCCACATAGGTTTGAAATAAATCAGCCCAGGTAATGTTTTAATACTGAGCTTGTGATAAAACATGTTTTTCTTAAAACTGCCTAGCCTGTTCCCTCCATTTGCCAGAAGAGAAGGGGTTTGAACGATGCAATTCAGACCCAGAGAACTTTGGTCCAAAGATCGATTCAAAAGGCTGTCCTCCAAACCTCCAACATTAACAATGCTTTGCATGGACCAAGTTGTGAAGCCTAGCTTAAGTTTTATTTTCAAGTGAGCTTGGGCTCCAGGACTTTGATCAACTATAGTGTCTTCTTGCCTGCACTGCAGTCCAAGCCATATTACAAACACGGAACGTCAAAAAGAAACCTACCAATATTAAACTTGTTTTTCTTAAAGAACTCAAAATGGAAAACAGGGGGATGGTGGGAAAATGCTTAATTTTTAACAATAGAGAAGAGTTTCACTGTGTAACTTGTTTCTAAAACAAATATATACCAAGGAAAAAAGGAATTTCACCATTTTGGTAAAGTATGTGGCTTTTTCAGTGTGTCTTAGTTTAGTTCTGTAGAGCAAGACAGGCATTATAGAACCATAATACTGGTTACCATCCAATGAAGAGAATACAAATCATCCTTTTGGAGATCTTCATTATGAAGACAGCTTTCTAACATTGCCACTTGCTATAATCCAAACTAATTGATTAGCCTTATCTTTCTCAATTGACTAAAAGGCACATTAAAGGCAGTTCTAGAGAGCCTCATCTTCAAATTACTGTACATCCAGTTACTCAAGATTCCTACCACAATGCATCATTGCCTTCTTTAGAACAGATTTTTTTGTCCATTCCCCAGAGACGAGAAAAACTGGAAAAAAAAAATAAAAAAGGTTGCCTGTTTAAAAATATTCAACTTAGATCTGCTCTTTCCAGTCCTCTTGTATGTGTTGGTCTCCACTTTGCCTGAAGTTTCCCCAAAGATAATGCATGTAGAGTGAACAAGAGCAGAAATGAAAACAGTTTCTGTAGCACCAAAAATCTCCAAGCTGTGGCATTGTATTCTTTATTTATATCAGATACAACTATATGAAGTTCCGTTTGGTTCTTGTAGGCTGGTTGGTTTCAGGTACCTGAGACAATAGCACCAAATTCAACAGAAAGAAAAAGAGAGAGCACTTAAGACCAAGGCTCTGCACATACTTGGTGCAAATGGAAACTGAATGGCTCAGAGGACTGCTCTCCCATGAGCAGTTTGAGAGGATAAACCCACCCATCTTGTCGAGTTCACAGGAATGTTTCAAACACATGAACTGTTCTTTCCATTTCCTGCAAGAGACACAAGGCATCAATTACACATAAATACACAAAGAGGGAAATAAAGTTACATCGCATAATTGTATTTACGGGGCTATTTTTTTTAAAAGATCTGAACAAATAATTAATAGGAAAATAGAAATTTCTGTTTATTAGCTACTGTCTGCTAGCAAAATATGCTAAAAGAGGAAACTAATTAAAGAAGTACTAATGCAGAAAAGCACTCCACTATGACAGTCCATGAGAAAAATCGAAGTGTATTAGGGTCACTTACATAATTAACATACTCAATATGTATTAAGAAAGCATTGCAATGGCACACTGCATGAATTCAAGTCTTACTGCACACTGACGCTATCGGTGACCCCACTGTACACACATATCTACAGTTTGGAAAATCAAAGTAAAGATCAGTCTCCACATACTCTTGCTGGATAAATGTCTTTTTAATCTACCTAACATTTGGCACAGACTTTCAACATATTTTTAGGTGGCAACATGGTGAGAGGAATAGCATGAAAATGGCTTGAAAAGCATTTTGCAGTGACTCTACAATATCCCATGCTAAAGCTTTTCCAGGTTTTGCTGTAAAATATTCATGGAGAAAAATATTTAGTGTTCAGTAATCCAACTGAAAACTAGCAATTGTTGTCCTTTTCTCAACAGGGTTGGTTATCAGTTGAATCAGCAAGCTGATCCAAACCCCTCTACAGCTAGAACAATGATGTTGGAGGGAATGCACATCCAGAGTTATGATCAGCCTACTCCAATTGTGAAATGATCAACTTACTATTGATGCAGACAAGAGGCCTGGGCATCCTAGAGGCAAAGGATGACAGCAAAGCAGACAACTGGCTTAAATCACACTGTGTTGGACTTACCAAGCTAGAGAAAGTTTGCAATCTTTTAAGGTCTTGTATGAAAGTTACAATCAGCTAACTGCATGAAGCAGAGGTATGTCATTTTGGGGGGCCTAGTTACACAAATGCAAGTAAAAGCAATTGCAGCAACACTGGCTCAGTGTGCCTATAAAATACACACTTTACGTCCACTGTTACTCATATCACAAATGTGGTAACTGCTTCTACTCCACTTTTACTCTGCTAGCATGTGCTTCTCCATGCTGTTGTATTCTCTCCTCTTTTTCCTCCATTGTTATAGGCTAAATTCTTAATCCTTTTCTAAGGAAAGTATTGTTAGAAACAATCTCTGTTTTTTAAGTCATTACAGCACTAAAGTTTATTCTGGTTTTAGATACCTTCCTCAAAGTTTATTTAAAGCTTTTGCCTGCTAATACAACAGTAAATTGAGAGATGAACTTAGTTCTTAAAAAAACAGCCTCATGAAATTCAGATAAAGAATAAAAGAAACTGTACAACATCACCTCTATAAGTTGTGATTTGTCATAGTCTCTACGATGTCTGTAGATGCACTGACTGAGGAGTGAATACAATCTCTCAAGCTGGTCAACAGTCAGGTTGTCACTTTTCTTAACCACCAAATCAAGCAGTTTCTGTTGGAACAAAAGGTGATGTTAAAAGGGGGTTTATAATCACTTAATTTTTTTAAGGACAAATCAGAAATGAAATCTTCTGAAGCCCTGTTTTGGAGGGATACATAAAAATAAAATGGACCACACCCGGATACCAGTAAGGCCACTGTTTCCATGTAGATGCAAAAGGACTTAATGTCTCTTTTCACTTCTCTGCTTATACCCACACTTTTTCTTGTCTTCGATTTTACAATCAGTATATCTGGGGCAATGCTTGTTCTATTTGAACAATAATTTATCCTATTTTATCTTGGTCAATAAGTATGACAAAGCAAACTATAAAAACTGCTTGATAGCTAAAGGAGACATTTTTAAGAACTTGCATCGTAAGTAGCACCACATGGAAACACATTTGGAATTCCACAAATACTGAAAAACAGTACAATAAGAGAAGGGAGGTGGAAGTGGGGCATGACACAGGGAGAAGTGCTCATAAAGAGAAGGTGAAGCATGATTTTACATAGTACCACAGTAAAATTTAAGAATTTTGTCCCTTTCATAACACTTTTGTGTTTCCTATGTGATTGTTTCCAAAGAGATTATCATCTGTACTCCACTGCAAATAGGATCAAAATTTCATGGTAGGTCAAGCTAGTTTCTACAACAGAAGACAGCAAATTTTGTTGTAACTTTGCTTAAAAAGAGACAAAACTGAAAGAAAATTAAATAGCAGGGGTTCAATCTATGATGCCAAAACATCAGCACAAATTCCAATTTGCTTTCCAATCCACTAACAGTTCTTTCCACTAAAGTATACGTACATGGGAAGGGAAAAGATGATGTTAACCCCTAATTACTAGGCACCCAGCAGTTCCTCAGTAACTGGCATATCCAATTAACATATGAGTACCTGCAAAAATGGCAATTAAAACAGTGGACTGCTGGGCCATTACTGGATTTGTAATGGTAGTAATGATGGGACAGTAAGAATTCAGTAGTTTTATTAACTCTTCATCCAAAGAAAAACCCCACTGACCAACAAACCATCTTTAGAAGTCACTGCTGCCAAAATACTCATTTGCAGTCAAAAATAAAGGGAATGTTGCTTCAGAAGAGAGAAAGGAAGCATTTTGCATGGAGTCTGTTAACAGTTCAATTGATATTTTGGTTCCATTACCTTTAGTCTGTCATGGTCAACAACTACACAGGGTAAGGGATCCGATGGTTCCTCTGGAACCTGCTCCAAACTTGTGGGCTTTGCCTGTTCCAAAGCGACTTTTCGTGTTTTCTTGCTTTTGAATATACCTGTAATTTGAAAACCAATTATCAGCACTGTCAGTCTCTCAAAAAGAACTACTTATTTCTTCACATTGTTTTGATTTTGCTTGTTTGGTTTCTTGGGGTTTTTTTGAATCAAGCAAGAATGATTGTGGCAGTGTGCACTACTCATCAGCTTTGCAGAATTCTGAATGCTTACAGTTGCACAAAATCACCATTCAGAAAACACACGAGACTGGACCCAACAGAAAATTGAACGTCACTGAAAGAGTTTTCCCATTGTATTATTTCTACTTAGCAATATCAAATCACAGAGTTTCTAAGGAAAGTTCAAATATCAAGCAGAAAGATTTTGTGCATTAGCTTAAGTGAATCAAATCCTTATTTTTTTCTCCGAAGCATCCTACATCTTCATCACCACAGTAATTCTAACATCAGCTCTGCTCCTGAAACTTCATGCTTTTGTGACAAACTTCTTCCACCTCAGTATTAAAGTTGTTGTCCAACCCTGCTGTGGAAAACAAAGTATTTTCTATCTCCTGATACTCTCCCTACACTCATCCATTATTTTTCTCCTCAACTATTTAAAATGCTTTTTTTTTTCCTGAGGACCCCTGTTACTATAACCTTCTGTAATGTACACCAAATTCAAGTACTAAATTCAGAAATATAAAGGCTCTTAGCATACATCATACTCCTCTTCTGAAATTCTTAAGACCTTTCTTCTAGTAATCTCCTTAGCCTTAGAGAAAATGTGTAATGTACAAAATGTACAAACACAGCCAACACGTATGTAGTGATATTCTCATAATTCAGATCTCCCATTAAAGCTCATTTACATCGTAAATCTCAGTGCTAACTTCTGAAGTAAAGATTTCATTCTTTTAGACAATTCTGAAAAGCTAATTAAAAAGGCAATCATGCATAAGGCTTTTATTTCTCTTCCCTGAGGAAACGATGTCTCTTGTCTTCAAAGGATGTGGCTCCTTCTTTTATGTACCACCAGGATTTCCCTTTTCCTTTTCTTATCTTTTTGCTGCACTGTTACTGCGTTGACTGTAACTCCAAAGCCAGATACCTTCTCCAGTAGATAAACAACAGTTTATCTAGCTTTTGCCATGAGTTAAACTGCTTTAACTTTTGCTATAAGCAAGAGTTTTTAAAGGAATACATTCTGTATTCCTGTGTTCTTTCAGCAAGTGTCAAAGATACTTTTATGATAAATCTCTAATAAAACAAGTCAAAACATATATAGATAAAAATGTCGAACAAACACAGACCAAAACATATATATTTATGTGCATTGGTAATAGCTTTTAAATCTTTAATTATTGTTTAAATATTATCCCAATATTTACAATATTTCCCATAAAGACTACAAAAATAAACAGAACAGTCTAAGTATGGAGATATATTTACTTGCCAAAGATACCATCATTACAGCAAGTAAAGCGTGGACTTACAATGTGGAATTAAATGTTGTAAGCATACCAGAAGTTTCAAATAAATAAACAGCAGTTCATAAAATGTTATCATACAGTAATAACATAAAATATTACAATTAAAAATACACACATATTAACTTGGACACCAAGATAAGGACAGAAACATTGAAAACAAGCTATACCTTCTTTATCTGTTTCAGCATCCTTAGTTTCAGTGTCTGTGCTCTGTAGTGTTCTGTCATTATTGCTGCAATGTGGTAATTCGGCTTTCACTAGATCAGCTCCTCGATTTTCACTGGAAACTTCCGTTTGCTCCTTTGGCTGATCTTCAGACAAAGATTTTTGTTTGTTAATAGACCCATCGTTGTTGTCACAGGGTGAAACAGCATCAATTGATTCCATTTTACCGTTATGACATACTGGAATAGGTATACCTTCTGATCTGTGTACAGATGTCTCTCCATTCACACAGTCCCCTTTCGATGTAGAGCCCTTCCTTAATTCCTTTTCAGCATTCAGAGTAACACTGTCGGTTATTAAGAGAGATTCATTTGAGCTCTCTTCTTCTGTGGATGCAAAATTGTTTTCCTTTCCTGATGTCCCATTGTTAAGCCTCTGCTCTGCATCTATATCCATAATATCACAAGAGGATTCATCATTTGTTATAGAGAGATCTCCTATTTCCTCCCCATTCTCCTCAATGCAGTCAGTGCTGATCTCTAGCTCTCCATTTTCCAGCAATTTACTATCCTCTCCATGATTTTCATCATCAGCAAACTTTGCATCATCTTCATCTTTCTTTAAGTTATTGACTTTCCTCTTCTTAATAATGCCTTTGCCCCACTGTGAGCGCCGTCTTGATTTCCTCCTTATTCGAACTGAATTACAATGAAAAAAAGAAACTTTTAGATGCACAGATATCCCTCAATAGACATACTAGGGTAACAGAATATGCTGTGGTGCATGAGGCAGTCAAACGTGTTCACATTTGAAGGAACATATATTTTATATATATCCATTTTTAGGTAAAATAGTGAAAGCAAAAAGCTAAGCAATGGTGTAGAACTTGTTCACTCTCATTTGGTTAATGCAGACTCTAAAGTCAAGTTTTTCTCATTGTCCCTTTTTAGAATCTCAGTGATTGGGAATCATTATACAATGAAACAAATGGAAGTGCAATCCAGGCATTCGTAGAATAATTCAGAACAGACATCAGGAAGTCTCAAGTCCAACCTACTACTCAAAACAGAGTCAGCTATGAGGGCAGACCAGGTTGCTCAGGGCTTTTATCCAGCCCTGTATTGAAAACCTCCACGGATGCAGATAAAATGACCTTCATGGGCACCAATGCATAATCATCCTAACAGTGAAAAGGCTTTTTGCCCTACACCAAGTCAGCACCTCTCCTTTCAATTATGTCCACTATCAAGTCAAAGACATCTCCACTCTTAAGCCGGCTAGATCTCCTCAACCTTCCATTCACTCCCACCTCTTTACTCAAGTTGACAAAATGTGGTTTTAAAAACAGAGGATCTTTGGTTTAGACCCAGATCATTTAGCAACCCTTTCTATAGCGAGACCTCACAAACACTTGCATTTCTGCAATGAGTCTGTGAGCAGAAAGGGAAGGTTAGGTCCTTAAACCAGGATCATCACCAATGCACTCCCTCCGTATCATGCAACTCAACTTGAAGCAACATGGGCATGCGATCCTTTCTTCATTACTTCTGTATCCTTACTTTTTCATTTCTTCTATTTCTCATTTGTACTTTCTGTGCCTTTAAAAAAATCACATAATAAGCTTATTTTCGGAAAGGAATTTTTCTTTACTAACCTATTTGCTAAAGCACTAATCTAAAAAAAGGTTTTGGCACACACTTGCAATACGACCAGCAAATACAGAAGGAAGACCATTCAAACATGATGCTACTGTCAACGTCCTTTCGTCCTTTTCAAAAGCACTAACAAGACATAGCTCAGAAGACTATGGAAGAGTCCGGGCAAAACTGAAACTTCTACATTCAAATTCAAGTAATGATACAGACTGCCTGTATTTTTGCAAAATTGCTGAAGTTCCAGCCAAGCGAATATAATTGAAAATCCCAGCCAACAGTAACCAGAGATTAACAAATCTTCTTCCATTTCAAAACGAACCCTTATGTTGAGCACCTCCATACTGTTCTTGGTATTTGTAGATTGCTTTGATTTATGGGGTATTAAGTCCCAGATCTATGTCTGCCAACCTCACACTGAGTTACAAAGATCTTGCTTTGAAGATACAAGCACTACGCAGGTACAAGTGTTGAGAATTAATTCACAGAAGCTAAGAGAAGCACAGTTGTACTTCAGAATTTCCTCCCCATGACTGGTATATGCAAGCAGGTCGTTTAACCACTACATTAGGAATAAATCTTAACCTTTCAGCTTTAAAGCCATCTAAAGATACAGTCCTACTGCAATAAAACCATAGTCTCACTTGGAATCATTGTTACAAACAGTCCTAATGGAGAACTGTAAGATTTGAGGAGAAAAATCCCCTTTCTCCAGCTATTCTGTAGATTTGATGGCAGCTTCTGCAGCTAGCATCACTATTGATGATTTATTGATGATTAACTACAACCTATTCAAATAACTTTTCACGATCTCATGTAATCTTCCCTTAGATTGTGCAAAAGATTTTAATTATTAACAGAAGAAGCAAATCTGAAACTCAACAAGGAGGTGTAAACTTATGGACAAAGAAATTCCCCTATTGAGGCAATTGCTTTAGCCTCAGGTCAACTCCAAAGATGAGTAAAATACAGAAGGGGAGTCTTCTAAAGGAAATATACTATGACATCAAGTGTATAAATTAGTAACAAAGTTGAAATTTTTAAAGATACACTTATTTTAGCTTTTTACGTTGACTTTGCTCTAAGAGTCAGATATGTCAAATATTATTGACATTTATTATACCAATTAATTGTACTTTAAATATGCCCATTTTACTGTTCATCCTTTTTGTCCACCCTATGAGCTCTACCCGTGGTAAGAACCCGTAACTTGCCTTAACACAGGTACATTCCTAAAATTACGAAGCGTAGGAGAAATCACATTAAAGTAAAATGGAAGCAATCCTTGTGTTACACAAGGATTTTCATCAATTCACTTCAACAAATTTCAAGGTGACAGGCAGGAAGTCCAACTCACCCTCTTTCATGCAGCACTATTCAAACAGTGCAAGTTGCTTTTTATTGCTGTTTTTAATTACAACAAAGCAACCACAGAAAGTGCTGCAGAATATGCAGAAGATGTCCTCACAGGAACTCTGAGGTTTATGCTGCATCAAAACCAGTAAACACAGAGAAATTTTCAGCTACCTCATCAAGGTATGCACAAAAAACAGAGATTTGGTTGAAACACTGCTATCATTGTAAAACTGCTGTTATGTCACAGCATTACAAAAAAAAAATGATACCACCAACCAGGTCCTGAGATTTAGGAAAGAACAACAGAATTTCATTGCCAGATACTGCAGAACATGCCTTCCTAACATTTAATAGTATTTAAAACTGACAAAAGGAATAATCTACCTAGTTTGGGTTTTCACTCGCATTTAGTCAATAGAACTCAATTAATGCTAAAGGCTTTTCCTCCCAGGCTCTTACAAATTCTTACTTCACAGCAGTACCATCTTCACCTGAGCCACCCAGACCTGTAACCAACAGGTGACCAGCACTTCTAAAATCCTAATTCTTATTGTCTGTATACTTCTAAGAATCGACTTTTCTCCCATGTCATTCAAATAAAAGCCTTCCTGCTTTCAAGCCCTTCCATCCCAACCACTGAAGCTTTCTTCAGGCTTTCATAAACCCACCTAAATCTCTCATTTAAATTTATTTAACACAGAACTGCCTGGATCACGTCCATGATCTCAGTGAGATTCCCAGTCTCCTACCTAATAATATATCTTTGAGCCCATGCACCAGTGTTTACCCTCCTGATAATATCAAAAGTCTAGTCCTCACATTTAAACTGCCCATTCAAATGATGCCTTTTTGTTCTCACATGCACTGCGCTGCTCTGTGCAAAAGAACGTCTGTTGGGAGAAGAAATTTTAGGTTCAGATCCTTAGCACTCATAACACACAGATTTTTCTTTCATACAGACAGCCAAGCCTCTAGGAAAAGTGAAAAACTGACCAAGGAATACAACATTAAGAAACAAACCCCATCAGCAGTCTGTCTTTCTGTCCTGCCCACTTTCCTCAGTAAAGCAAAGGGAGTGGTACAAGTAGGAGGAATGTTTAATGTAGCAGGCAACCATGTGACCAAATGTAAACAAAAAGGTACTACTGCAAGAATAACACAGACCTGAGAAGATGTCATATAGAATCACAGAATTATTTCGGTTGGAAGGGACCTTCAAGATCATCTAGTTTCAACCCCCCTGCCATGGGAGGGTTGAAACCTAGAGCAGGTTGGTCAAAGCCCCATCCAACCTGGCCTCGAACACTTCGAGGAGTGGGGCATCCACAGCTTCTCTGGGCAACCTGTGCCAGTGCCTCACCAGCCCCACAGTAAATAATTTCTTCCTTATACATAGCCTTATCTACGCTCTTTCAGTTTACAGCCATTCCCCCTTGTCCTATCACTACTTGTAAAGTTTATCTCTGAATTCTGCAAGACAGTTCAAAAATAGCGCTCAAAAAGGAAGGAGGAGCTACCACAAGGCAAAAACTGGTGCAAAACTAAATGGCTAATGGGCAGGAACTAATGGAGTAATGGACCGCTGCTAAAAAATAAGCTTGACCTGGAGTCCCCTCTTCTCTACCTTAATGTTGATATAAGACTGTAAACACCAAGAGCAGAATTCCACACTTTTTATTTTATAGTCAGTATGATTTATGACATATATAAGTTTTCAGTAACTAACAGAATGGGACAGCTTTTTACAGAAGAAAAACTTGTAGTTAACTTTGTTAAAAAAATTAACAGAGTACATACAATTGCAAGTGAACACTGTAACACCTTTTCAATTATTCTTTTTAAAACTACTCATCTGAAATCTACCCATTGATACTCAGTCTTTTGCCAGTATTTGTGCCAGAGGCAGTAGAAATACTATTGTCAGAGGAATCCTGCTTTATAGAACTCAGTTTCTATAACTCAAATTATTATAATACCAATTATTCACACATGAATACAGTCACTTGCCTTCTGAATTGCTGAACTCTTCTCTCTATAATCTTCACATAACCTCTACAGATTTGCCAAGGGGATCCTCACTGCAGTTCTAGCTTTCCTGGTCTGCTTTTTTGTAAATCAGTATTCAGAATTTTTAATGACAATAAATACCTGTTTGACCACAAGTCACACATAACATTTCACTTGGGTTTGCATGAAGTTGGTATCAAAAGCAAACCTTTCCCACTTTTTTCTTTTCCTAAGCTGCACAGCCTATGCAGACAGCATTTTTTAGAAGTGCAATGTAATACAATGTAATTAATCACTGAATACAAATTTACTCTATGTCTCATTAAGTGGCAAGTGAGGTTTCTCAATCCTTCCATTCCTATGTTGAGACACTTTGTAAGAGTCAGCTGAAAGACTCTTAACGCAGATGACATTTTCTCCAGAGGTGGCCTCCCATTGCTACACAAACGAAATTCTATACTTTTACTGCAAAAGGACTAGTCTTCTAGGAATAACTTGAGTAAAATGAAACCTGTAGCAGACTTTCTGAAATTCTCAATTCTTGCCCATTGAGAGGTTCTGCTTTGTGAGTCTCAAGCCAAACACACCAAGTAAGGACAACATCTTCCCATTAAATAAACATGCTTAGTTTAGGGGCGCACTCCAACTTTGTAGCTGCAACCTTTCTGTTTAGTACTGTCTCA